CACGATGAACGCCGTTATTCTTCTCCGTCTCCCTAGCTCTGACCGGGCCTTGGCGCTGCCAGTGGGTTCTTACGGTCCTGAAATCTCTGGTTTCTGCAGAACGCAGCAAGTCTGAAAAGGCCGAGACAGATGTCGCGGCTTCAGTCAGCACCCCAAAACCAACACCGCATGCGCCCAGTGGACAGGGCGCGGCGACGGCCGCAGAAAATCCCCAGACTGAGGTAGACCAGTCCACCCTTCATCTGGCTGTGATGCAACATCGCTCTGACGTGAAGTTCATCAGCTCCTGTAACTGTGGCCGACAACAGGCCCCCAGACCCGATCCCTTCGACTATCGCGAGGCCAACTGGGAGTTCTACAACTCTCTCGCACTCAGCTGCTGCAGCAAGGTAGGTACTAGAAATAAGCAAGGGATTCTGAGTTTACCCATTCGCCTACCACCTCTGCTCCACAGGGTAGGTCCACCAGTGACTTGCGTGTGAATTTGTTTCTACGTAAGCAGATTTGCGCTGCATCTACCTCACTCTCTCTCTTCCGTCGTATCCACCCTGTTCCGGCCAAGGAATGGACGACTGCAGGTGGCCACAACGGAGTTTAGTAATAAGGCTAAGTAGCTCATCTACACGTGCCGGACTTCGGTCAGGGGTGTGTCTGGATCGCCCACAAGTAGCCCTCCTAGCTTACCAGCCAACTGGTTAAGAGATGGAATTCAGGAGCTAACCAGACGTTTAAGCCACCACCTGCGTGTGTTACTCGTGTTAGTCCTCCGCTTTGTGCCACCTAAACGGAATGTTATGTAAATACAGACCCAGGCAGTTTATAATGCCAATTACAATGCCTGTAAACTGGCAACCAATAAATAAAAAATTAAAAAAGTCAAAACCCCTTTAATCTCTTTAAGAGTATTTTTTAGTTTCAGTTTAGTTTCAGTTTATTTGGTGAGGATAATAGGCAATGCCTTTGAAAACCCTATTCATAACGTGTGCAGCACCTATAAAAATTTACCACTACTAACATACTATTGGCAAACAGTGAGTAGCATTGTTTTTTTACAATATACGTCTGGTTTTTAGAATTCAGACTGGGAGGGAAGGGACGGGACACATGTAATT